TATACAGTAGTCAACATTTTGAAGTGGATCAAAAAAGTTCATCAAAGTTGTCCTAATACGAGAACGGGTAATTCATGTATAACTTTGATGAAACGTTTTGATCCACTTCAAATGTTGACTACTGTAAAAATAAATACATAATAATAAAAATGGCAAAAACAACAAAATAACTAAAACTAATAAAAAAAATATAATAATAATTCAGTAACTTTAAGCTGAAAAACTTAGAAATGTTGCCTTTACTACTATCTCTGAAATAAATTAGTTGAAGTAGCCTACTAAAATTATTTAAAAAATAAAAATATAATTACATAAAATATTTTTGAAAACTAATAAAATAGCAAAAGCACATAACAAAATTACTTAAACTAAAATTAAACTGAAAATATAAAAATAAAAGCTGATTAATAAATACTAAAAACAACACGGGATCAGAAATAAAATGATAGACTTGATTTTGAGTTTGTGCAGTGCAACACGTCAGAACATGTACAGTACCGTCAGCCAACATCTCCGACAACCAGCTCATTTGAAGGCTTTTCATAATTACTTGTTTAAAACGACAACATTTTACTTGGTTAAACAAACGCCACACCAGAGCATTTTAAAAACCGTCGAAAGCAAGCACATTCTAATTGAGTATTTAAGACATTGTCTTTTTGTCAGCATTATTCTTCCAACAGACTATAAATAAATACAATCCTCCTCAAACCAGTCTGAAGGCCTGAAGAGCGACATTAGAGACGGGACTAGTTACAGCAGAAAATGACACAGACAGTGATTCAGACATCTGAAGTGGTGTGTTTGTCAGCAAGCTTTTTTGCAGGCAACTACAGTCCTACACGCGCACACACACACACACACACACACACACACACACCGTGTCTCTTTGCCTCCCCCTAGTGGTCAGGCTGAGTCACAGAAATCCTGCTACTTTTCCGTCAGGAATTTAAAATTATAACTTTCATATGTACATAATATTATGTTTACACACAAAGGTAGTGGATAGAAGGGTAAGATGTGCCAGTGGAGTGGGTAAGCTGTGTCACCCTGTTGATCTAAAATTTAGAAAGGGCCAATGATGCACAGCTGCCTGTGATTGAAAGATGCAAATGAGAAAATTAAACGTTTACTGTTTTTGTAATTATTATTTATTGCATATCAAAATACGTTCTACAATGCAATACAAAAGACTGTCAAAGCAAAGCTATTCAGGTCTAAAAATAAATATAAAAAATGATTTACTAATGCATAAAACGCTGTTCATTATTTCTAAGTGTCTCAGCTATAGTTGGCTTTTGCATCAAAATGCAAGAAATACAAATAGAGCAAAAAATATTACAAAATTAAAAAAATGTTTCACTAGAATAAGATATTCTGAATGTTAAATATTTCCTTGGGTGTTTCTGGCTTGTCATAGATGCTGTCTAATTTTAGCTTAGAAATATAATTAAATAATATATCAGATAATGAAATAATTAAGAATATAATACATATATAATAATAAAATAATTATTAATAATACAGAAGATTGGTATGAGAAAGTTTTATTTAAAAGATTCAACAAGGACACAGTAAATAAACCAAAAATGACAGTTATTCTATTCAAAGATACCAACAAAAAAAAAGTTTCACCGTTTCCACAGAAATATTAATCAGCACAACTCAGTTCAGCATTAATAATAATAATAATAAATGTTTCTTGAGCAGCAAATCAGCATATTAGAATGATTTCTGCAGGATCATGTGACACTGAAGACTGGAGGAATGATGCTGAAAATTCAGCTTTGATCACATGAATAAATGACATTTTAAAATATGAAGAAAAAAAATAGTTTTGATCCATATAAAACAATTTTACTGATCCCAAACTTTTGAACAACATAATCACCCCAAAACGAGGAGTAACAACAAGCCATAAACAGTCATGTTACAAGACAAGCTGACTAAATGAAGACATCGCATGTCAACGAGGAGATGACCAGTAATAAAAACAATGGAGGCACAGAGGGAGGTGAAGGTGACAATGAGAGTAGAAACATTCCTCCCTCACGCACGTTTCTCTGTAATCTCCTTACAAAAGCAGAGCCCGTGACCTCGGGGCGCCGGCGCCAGGCGAGCACTATCACCACGGAGGTTTTCCTACAGGCCGACCCCCTACAGCGGTCCTGGTCACATAATCATAAACCCAGAGCCCTCGTGTGCTCACTTTTACACACAAACACGCACAGACATCACATTACAGGCGGGCTTCAGGCTTTTGCATGAATGGAGAGTGATTTACAACCGTTTCTAAAGAATGATTAGGTGAGACTTGGCAAGCTTCAACAGGTAACAGCTCTGGTTTGATTTCAGTCTTCTCTCAAAATAAAATGAGCTCAACACTAGTAAGAAGTAGTAAAAAGTAATAAAATAAATCACAGTGAGGAGGAAATAAATTTGACATAAATTGAAGGATAAGTGCTGACCAATAAGGGGTTAAACTGTACACTTCTGCAGAATATTTTCCCATAAAGTTCACTTATAATGCTAGTTTTGGCATAGTTATTTATTTTATCATGAACATTTTATTTTTAATTAAGTATGATGAAAGACAGACGGACGGATATATGGAGAGATAGATAGATATTATAATATAGATATAATATATATATATATATATATATATATATATATATATATATATACAGTATATAAATACATATATAAAACATTTTTAAAAATGTGCATATTATGAAATCTTAATGAATTTAATGTATCAATCTTGAATAAAATATAACTATTTAAATTAAAGTTATTAAATTAATTTAAATTAAAGCTAAATTAAGTTTAAAATAAATATTAAAATATTATAATAATAATAATAATATTATTATAAATAAACTATTTCAAAAACTGCATTTTTTATATTTTTCAAGTAATTAATATTTTATTTAGCAATGCATTTTCTATTTTCTAATTAATGCTGTTCCTTTTAACTTCCTATTCATCAAAGAATAGAAAATCAAAAAGGCGCAATTGTTTTCAACATTGATAATAATAATAATAAATGTTTCTTGAGCAGTAAATCAGCATATCAGAATGATTTCTGAAGGATCACGTGACTCTGAAGACTGAAAATTCTGCAGAAATTCCAAAATAAAAGAGTTATTCAAAACTGTAATTTCACAATATTACCGTTTTTACTGTATTTTTGATCAAATAAATGCAGCCTTAAAGGGTTAGTTCACCCAAAAATGAAAATTAAGTCATTAATTACTCACCCCCATGCTGTACCAACCCCGTAAGACCTTCGTTCGTCTTCGGAACACAAATGAAGATATTTATGATTAAATCTGAGAGCTGGATCACTGCTACATGGGCTCCCTAAGGGAATGACACTTGACGGCCCAGAGAGTCAATAAAGAAAATGTTTAAATATTCCATGTCGCAACAGTGGCTCAACTATAAGTTTATCAAGCGACGAGAATACTTTTTGTGCGAAAAAACAAACAAAAATAACGACTTTATTCGACTATTCCTTTTCTTCCTTGTAGGCCTGAAACGAGAGTTCAAGAGATTTCCACGACGCATGCGCGAGAACTTAACTGAAGTAGTTGAAGGAGATGGCAATTCTCGCGCATGCGTCGTGGAAATCTCTTGAAGTCTCGTTTCAGGCCTACAAGGAAGAAAAGGAATAGTCGAATGAAGTCGTTATTTTTGTTTGTTTTTTCGCACAAAAAGTATTCTCGTCGCTTGATAAACTTATAGTTGAGCCACTGTTGCGACATGGAATATTTAAACATTTTCTTTAATGACTTTCTGGGCCGTCAAGTTTCGTTCCCTTAGGGAGCCTATGTAGCAGTGATCCAGCTCTCAGATTTAATCATAAATATCTTCATTTGTGTTCCGAAGACGAACGAAGGTCTTACGGGGTTGGTACAGCATGGGGGTGAGTAATTAATGACTTAATTTTCATTTTTGGGTGAACTAACCCTTTAAGGCCCTTGCACACTGAGTCTGAAATTTTCGTGTTCGTGATTTGGTGGCTCTGAATTATCAAAACACCATTCAAAATGCCTCCTATGGATGCGAAAAATGCAGAAAATCGAACCCGATTCGATTTTTTTTGTGACGGACGAAAGTTTCGGAGACAGTGTGCAAGCGTGATTGACATAACGTGAGGACGTATTTATTTTTTGACGTGCGAAAATTTTGGGTGGTTGCTAGGGTATTCTTTTGAAAATCATAAGACAGATCATTTAAAGTTTGTTCGAGTTTTTAAAGAAAGATTAAAAATAAGAAGAATTATGCGCAAGTGTCACCACCATATTGCCAGTGTGTTGCTAAACGGATTGATGCTATAAAGGTTGTTTATGTGTTATGAGTGGTTGCTAGGGTGTTGTTGTGTTCTTTTCAAAAAGCAAAACACAACAAAAAAAAAAAAAACTAACCTAAACAAAAAAGGTCAGTGTGCAAGGGCCTTTAGTGAGGCATTTTTCAAATACAAAAAAAAATAAAAATCTTACCAACCACAAACTTTTGAGAGAAATTCTGTCTGTCTATGAAAACATCTGCTAAATGGAACTGAGGGAACCACACACTTTTAGCTACGATAGCTAAAAGCTTTAATCAAATCACTAAGAATATCTAACAAATAAACACATTCAAAACAACAATACAAGTAGTTTCTTGTCACCACTACACCCAAACCTGCTGCATAACGTTCCCCTCGACACAATAACAGCCGTCTACCTCATTCCTAACAGTCCCAACTATGATTCCCAAAGCACACAGAAAGTTATCAAAGCCTTCCTGAGAGTTGACTTGTGTTCCCTGCTCTCCTCTGCTCATTCTCCTGTGTCAGAGAGCATCAGCTTATGAGAGGGAATTCATTTCACAGTCTGGTGGCCAGAGAGGCGACCTCATATCCCAGCAGGCCTCTCTCTGGTCCTCTAAACTTTGAGAAGGCGAGATCTCGCAGCGGTCTTCGGGACGGGTGTCTGGTGTGCTGCTCTTACCTTTGAGGCGTGACGGCGCTCGGTGCAGTCTGGATGCTGGCACACCACACACTCCTCTTCCTGAGGCGGCTTCTCGTCTGCAACAGTAAATCACACACAGATACACATTAAAACACCTTAGAGAACCGGCGGTAAACGTGTACATTTTCTGAAGAAAAACGACAGTGCAAGTGTCGCCACCACATTGCCAGGGTGTTGCTAAGCGGTCGCTAATATATTCACAGTGTTTACGGGGTTTCTACGCAGTTGCAAGAGTATTTTGGATTGATGCTATAAGGTTGCTAAGGTCTTATGGGTGGTTGCTAGGGTGTTGTGGTGTTCTTTTGTTTGTTTAACTGTCCTGAAGTTGAAAATCATAAATCAGATCATTTAAAGTTTGTTCGAGTTTTTAAAGAAAGATTAAAAATAAGAAGAATTATGCGCAAGTGTCACCACCATATTGTCAGTGTGTTGCTAAACGGATTGATGCTATAAAGGTTGTTTATGTGTTATGAGTGGTTGCTAGGGTGTTGTTGTGTTCTTTTCAAAAAGCAAAACAAAACTAACCTACACAAAAAAAGTCAAACAAAACATGACAGCTCCTAAATACTAAGAGTATATTGTGCAATAAATGGACAGACAGAGGAACTTGAACAGGATATAAACAGGACAGGGAAGAAGACAACAACAACAACAAAAAGGAAGTAAAAAAGAAGAGACAACATAAACAAGATGTAATATCACTTTCGCTTCATTCTTGACTGGATAAACAGTGTTTCTTATTAGCACAGTGCAAAACTACAACAACTGACCACACTATAAACATTAATTTTATGAGTACTAATCATTTCATATGCTCTGTAGATGGGGATTTTAGGACAGTTAACAGACACTTTTGCAAGCAGTCCTCTGTAGAAGTCGACCCAACAAAAACTTTCCATTCCCCTCTCCGCTTACAGATTCAATATTCACAGGAAAAATTATGAACATCTTTTCCATCTGGAGATCTTTTGCTTTAAATGTGTAAGTAATATGCCAGTAATATGCCTCAGTATCAGATCCTAGACCAATGGTCCCCAAACTGAGGAACGCGTACAGATGGGGTTCGCAAACAATATGATTGCTTTTGCAGTTCATTTAATTCTACCCCACCTTAAAAAAAAAAAAAAAAAAAACATCACCTAGCATTTATTTCTAACAGGAAAATTTTTATTTCTAGTGTAAAAATAAGAAAATAGTAGGGCCGTAAAAGGTCAAAACCATGACATCCAGTCAAATTTCCTCATATTTTGCGGTTAAAAGCTGACTTCATCCACGCAAGCAGCGCGCATGGTAACGTTAGGTTGCGTGCAGAGTATGCTGCCTTAGCAAATCGCGCAACATTATTGCCTTTTTTTGACAATGTCCCTTCGTAAAAGTTTTTTTTTTTTTTTTTTTTGATTCAGAACAAATATAGAAACAGACTGTGCATAGATAATAAATTATATAGTAGCGAGAATGCTTTTTTACCGAACATATCGTTGTGTGTGTCTCCAAGCAACACACAGTGGTGTTTCATCGAATGAATCGGGAGAGTCAGTGATTCAATGACCCATTCGTAAATACAGCCACTGAATCAATGAATCAATGACTCGATGACTCACTCATTAAGACAGTGATTTGCTGCCCCCTACTGGCGGTTTTAGTTTAATATTTAAAAGTATTCTCTTGGTTTTTAACATCATTTCATATTCCTCTATTGATCTTTTTTATTTTTTTACATCTCATAACATTATTATATGTCATTGTAATTGCACCTCTGGGCAGGATTAAACTGTGTAAATGCATCTAAATGCACTAGGGTTAGAAAAACTTTGCCTTCATAAAGGTAAAAAAAAAATGCATCTGAAAATCAATTTAAGGCTGCAAATATTGTCCCACCATGGAAAAGGTGTGACTGCATTCTAAGTGGAAGAGAGGAGGTACACAGAAGGATATGAAATGCCTCAGTTTGGGAACCACTGCTTTAGACTGAATCAAGAGTGTCATGAGTCAGAAACTTGTGACGAAACCTAAAATTATGTGACACAACAGTGTCTGACCACAGAACCAGCTGCCTGCGCTGGCTTACCAGTTTATAGAATTTCAGGGAGGCATCAATATTCCTCTAAACGCTTGGGTGATAAAACAGGTGAAAAAAGCATAGTACTTTGCTAGTTTACTCTGCAAAAAAAATTGATAAAATACAATTAATATAAAAAATAAACAAATAAAAAGTCAAATGAAACAAAACAAAATTATAAAAGAAAAAGAAAATGAAATGTCAAGAGGGCACAATAGACCTTATTCACAGCAAGTCATCTTTGATTTTTAACGTGAATGAGAGCGAGGCTGTGAGGGATAGACATACATCTCTTCAGTATTGATTGTGTTTTTGGATTGTTCTGCTTACAAAATACAGCAAAAATGTCTTTCCAAGAAATTTCAGTAGACAAAAAAACTCCAGACAACATGAGGTGTGGAAAATTATAAGTGATCTAGGAGCTTTATACGGCTTTGTGGATGCCATTGAAAACACGGTAAGTCTATCCCTCACAGCCTCGCTTTCATACCTGTCATGGAAATGCTCTGAATAAGGTCTATAAGATGAAACAAAGATATATTACACAAGAGATTTGATAATCTTATGATGTTTTTTTAAATTTATAATGAATAAAGACAGTAGGCCCTACGTGTTTAGCTTAGCGCAGGATGCTAGTAATAGGTGGTAAAAGTCTAATTCAGCAGTATTCATCTCTTTAATTATCTCTTCCTTTCCTTCACACACACACGCACACACACTTTCTCTTCCTCTGTTTAACATGGACAGGAATGTCTGACCTCAGCACAGCTGATTAGGCCCAAATCAAACAAATAATAAAAGCAAGCTAGCGTCACATGTATTGTCAACCTCAACACACACAGTGAGACAGCATGTGTGTGTATGGCAACTTATGCAGTCATGCTCTAAATACAGAGGGGGGAAAAAAAACTCACTGTGGCCAATTTTCTAAAGCCAAAGTGAATAAAATGTGAGTTGTTCTAGTTGCCTGCTAAAACGTTCTGGTAAAATGTTTTTTTGGGATAAAAACTGAAATAGTTGTCGGAAGCTTAGTGATGGTGGCGTTGAAGTTGTGCAACCGTGGTGTAGTTAGGGCTTCTATTTAGGCTTCAAAATTCATAAAAGTTGTGTTCATCTGTGAAAAATATCTTAAATGGACAAAATGTGTAAGTATCATAAACTTTTGTTGATCACAGTAGGGGTGGGTGATATAGCCTCAAAATTATATCACGATATTTCAAGAATATTTGCAATAATGATATTTATGACGATATAGAAAATCTTTTTTTTTTTTTTCATTATGTTTATCTCGCCTAAAGTTATCTACCGACTCCTAAACGCGAGAGTGTGGTATCGCCGCCTGCAGCGCTTGACTTTTGCCTTGTGCAACACATTTTGAGAGACGAGAAAGAGAAGACGCGGCAGCACCGCTGAACACTAAAGCTGTTTTTGAAATTGCGTCTCGGAGAAAGTTTGGTTGTTCTCAACGGTGTGTTTTTGCTTGTTGTGTTTCCACCTAGCAGTAACAGTTTTTTTTTTTTGCATATTTTGCTAAATATTGTGCTTTGTTGGAGGTCTGACCTCTTGTAACCAAACCACTTCCATTCTATTGAAGTAGCTCCCTTTTTATGTACTAAATTGTCATGGGAGGCTGACAGGCTGCTCTTACTCTCAGACAGGTGATGTTGTTGTGCGCGCAAGGGAACGTAAATGCGCCATACGTCATCGCGTCGCTATATCATTGATATCGCGATATGACACTTTTTTATCACGTTAAAATTTATACCGGTATTATCGTGAACGGTATGATATGGCACACCCCTAGATCACAGAGCTTGTTTTTTGCGAAAATTCAAAAGCCTATGGGAAAATCCTATTGGGTTTTTGTCGAGGGAACCAGTGTGATGCTAACTGCCGACTGGCAAACAAAGTGACGTCATACCTGCACCACTCTATAGCAAAGCAAACTAGCTTTGAAAACATTAGATCCCACCCTCCCTTCAGAGCGTCTCCAAAGCCACGCCTCCTTCAAAACACATGAAAGCGGGATCTCACTCACAGAATGTACACATAGTGTCAGCCATCTTTTTTTGGAAGCTAAGCTAGCAGGCTCTTGTTCTGTGGAGAAAGCTGAGTAGTAGGGGTTACCATCCTCTTTTTCCCGGACATGTCCGGCCATCGATGTCCGGGATTCAGCTTTTGCTTTCTGCAGTCGCCATTCATTGTTTCCATGCACACCTTTTGTTTCAACCTAACTGAATTCATTCCGATTGGTGAATCTGAATGTAGTGTTTACATGAACGCTAAACAAGTGATCGGTTGATGTGCGTTTTAACATTGCTAAGAAAATTCCCGCTCCTCCATGAGAGATACGAGACCGGTGCGTCTCACAGGTGTCTCTCATCAGTAATCACGCCACCCTGCCTCGTTCTGCTCCCCACAGTAAACATAATGAATGGCAACTGTAGAACGCAAAAGCCGAATCCCGGACATTTTGGGCGATCTCGAAACACATTTTCAGGCAGACTCATCACAGAGACTCATCACAGACTCTCACTAGCCTAGACTTGTTGTTTAACTACTGCGCTCTGTTACTGGTAGGCGTGGCCTCCTAGGGCAGCGAAGCAAGTGCATTCTGGGAGTTGTTGTCTTTCATCCACATAAGCCAAAAATACATTTTCTGGCTTTTCTCAGTCTAGAAAGCTCCAAATTCAAAAATCATTTCACATTTCTTCTACATAAATGACCCATTTTAAATACACATTCATCTTTCCAGAGGTGAAGTATCCCTTTAAACAGACCCGGGACCCAAGTAATAGATTGGGACCCGACCCGGCTGACCATTTAAAATATAGAGTCCCGGGTCGGATCCCGGGTGCTCCGTGTAGACCTCTACTGCAGATTCATTTTGGTGTTGACATTGAAACAAATAAATCCAAAGCTGAAGACGTGAACAGCTCCGGGTAGAATGTTACGGGTTGCCATCTCGTAATCGCGGTAATTACGACACGATGGTAA